GAGACAGAGTCTCGCTCTGTTGCCCGGGCTAGAGTGCCGTGGCATCAGCCTAGCTCACAGCAACCTCACACTCCTGGGCTCAAGCGATCCTCCTCCCTCAGCCTCCCAGGTAGCTGGGACTACAGGCATGCGCCACCATGCCTGGCTAATTTTTTTTTCTATTTTTAGTTGTTTGGCTAATTTCTTTCTATTTATAGTAGAGACGGGTCTCACTCTTGCTCAGGCTGGTTTCGAACTCCTGAGCTCAAACAATCCACCCACCTCCTTGGCCTCCCAGAGTGCTAGGATTACAGGCGTGAGATCGGCATCGGTTATCTTTACTTTTAACTGATTTTTGCTAAGGGCTGGGTGAAGTGACTCATGCCTGTAATCCCAGCACTTTGGGAGGCAGGGATGGGAGGATTGCTTGAGGCCAGGAAGGAGTTCAAGACCAGCCTGAGCAACTTAGTGAGACCTCATGTCAAAAAAAATTTAAAAATTAGCCAGGTGTGGTGGTGTGTGCCTGTAGTCCCAGCTACCTGGGAGGCTTAGAGGGGAGGATTGCTTGAGGTCAGGAGTTTGAAAAAGTTACGGTACTAGGAAAGAAGTAATGGTAGGAAAGAAAAGAAGGAAAGGGCAGCTCTTTCTTTAGAAGGGTGCTCCTCTCAGAGATATTGTTGGAACTGACACCTGTAGGCTGAGAAGGAACCAGCCAGGGGAAGAGTGTTGCAGGCAGAGGGAACAGCATGTACAAAGACCCCAAGGCAGGACTCCATCTTGCAGAGAGGCCAGCTTGGCTGGAAGTGGTGTGAGGTGGGGTCAGAGAGGGGCAGGGACAGATCACACAGGGCCCTGGAGGTCAAAGGAAGGAGGCTAGGTTTTTCCCATGGTGGGATGGGGAGCCGTGAGAGGGTTTTAACAGCGGGATTCTCATGTCCCCCTTGTCCCCCCACAGGCTGGATATCCTGCACCAGGTGGCCATCTGGCAGAAGAACTTCAAGAGAATCGTGAGTTCCTGAGTGGAGCAAGTGTGGGGGAAGGAGGCAGAGGAAGCCCGGTGCTGTGTTTTCTATGGATTGCTCAGCTCAGGCCTCATCCTCTCTCTCCTGAACCATTCACTGATGAATGGTCAATTTTCAGTTATCATCTGATTCCTCCCAAATCAAGGAGTCACACCTATAAATGTGTAATTATAGGCA